GGAAGCCTTACATAACGCCACTAAAACCGCAGTCTCTCCCGAAGCAGTTCTAACCGCATTTTTGCGAAATGGCGCAACCTCTCCAATAAGCCTCGCGTATCCGAGACTTTTCGGTCGTATGTATCCGGTCGATCAAGGAATCCAAGCAAATATCCATGTTTTTGTCGATCGTGTGTATCGAACTCATTGAGCGTTGCTCAACGCTCTCGTAAACGCGCGGCTACGTAAGGCGCCTAATTGCGAAACACGGTGTTCAATACTGAACGTGTGGTAAGCCGGCTAAGTTATGTCAGAACACGATGAGCTTTACGAGACAATCGTCGTTGTCTTTGAAAATATATATATAAATTGAGGAACAAAAAATTGAAATGTACATAATTATTGAAGTACAAAAAAGTGCAACATTATTAATTTACCGAATTAAAAGTACAATAAAAACTTTATATCGTTTGTAATATATGAAATTCAAGAATAAATATTATAATTGATAAAAAGATGTTTCACAAATATATTATGTTTTCTACATTGTAACAGTTTAAAAAAAATTATTATTTTATTTTTTCAATCTTTAAAATACTGAGATAAATTTTACATTGATAGGTGCACAACTGATAAAAAATTAATATTCCAAAATTAAAATTCTAAATTCTATGCACCCTTTTTTTCATCTCGGCTCAACTCAATTAAATAAGTGCATAATATAATCATATGTCTGTTATTTTTACTCGTTACATTCGATTATATCACGAAATTCTATCCAAAAGTAAAATACTGACTAATCATAAACGGAAGATTATGATCTACGTTTTGATAATGATGCCGATGACGTCGGCGATGATACTATCGATAATGATGACTGATTTAAGTTGTATTTCGCATAATAAAATTCGCGGCTCGTTTCGTCCGCCGCCAAAAGGAGCAGGTACGACGATGTGCGGTCGCGGCTCGCCTCACCGACCGTGTGTAAACCATTTACGTAACGGTGAGAGATACGCCGTATTTCGATGATTAACAATTTGTTTTGCGATCGGCAAAGGTGACTCTTTGTACGGCACAAATACCTTACGTAAGTCGTCAGATAAACGCGCGCATATGCAGCTGGAGATTAAGCGCGCGCAGCTTTTCGGATTTCGAGACGAGATGCGATCGTTTTTCGACCGCATCCTCCGCGACGATCGTATTTATCGAAATCAAACGGAGTGCTGCAATGTCAGACGCGTATTCTTATCGTCGGTTTCTTGTTTTCACTTTATGCATATCGGTATCTACACTTCATTATCGATTATAATTTTTCTTATAATAGTCTATTTTTCTGCAAAGCGTTCGCATTCTGAACTGTTAAATAAATGCACATATGTAAGCAATTTACTGAAGTAACACTGTCACAAATAATAACAAAATGTCAGAAAATAAAATTTCAAAGTATATCAATTCTTTTGCATAAATATTTCAATTTGCATATAATTAGTACTCTATTCTGCTGTTTTAATACTATATTTTCCTAAGCCCTAAAATTTTAACGAGTCATAGCAAAATAAAAGAATACCGAAATATCTGTGTTTAAAAAAAATTGTGTTACTAAACAAGTTAGATAACCTTGTATTATTATTTTCTTATACTCTTTTTTTTTTAAATAAATGTAAATTTCTGTGATTAATGATTCGCTTGCTGTACATGTGAAACCTTCATTTTCATACTAGAATTGAAACCGTTCGCTAAATGCAATTTTATAATTTTGTTTATTATATAAACAACTTCGTAAAACCATTATCGTATCGTAACAGCTAAGATTTCTTATCGTATATATAACGATAAATTGAGAAATCGTATAATACATCTTTCCCATGTATCATCAATGATCGCTACTATAATATTTGCATCTCGTATGATGAGAGCAAATTTGTTCGTAGAACTCGACGCATTGCGGGAAATAAGTAGCAAGAATATATTACTTTAGGTTTAAAGAAACGATACCAGAAACCTAGATTTATTAAAATAGAAATAAATATTAATAATAAATTAAAAAATAAGAATAACTGGAATAAACATTTAATGTTCATTAATTCTTAACAAGATATGTAAAATCGTTCAACAAAATCTTGTAAAGATTTTCATGACTTTGTCTTCTAGCTCTTGCTTGTACAAAACAAATTAAGAATATTATTGATTTTAATGTGGAATATTTTTGTCGTTTCTTTTTCATATAATAAATGTAATTAATATTGTATCTAAAATGGATAAAATCTACTAAAAAATACGTGACTTGACCTTATTAATTCATTATCCACATTAATATTAATTAATTATGAAGTTTTAAAGATTAAGAATTAAAATCAATCTGTAATATAAATTCTATTTATTTGCTAAATATTTGTTCGTACCTTTCGTTGTTGGATAACAAAGTGCGTCATCACATTTGTTATGTTCTACCTGTACACTGCAGTACAAATACGTAATCTAAATATCACGAGTAATCACGTAAGAATATGCGACATCAATATACGTGTTTGTCTACGTTCCAGCCTATTGACAATCATTTACTTCTACCTATGATGTGATTTAATGTATAATTTCAAACGCGATTGAATTGCTTTGGGTAAATAACAAATTTACGTATAATTATCGGTATATCTGTAAAATATTGTACAGACTAGAGCAGATCTTAAGAAGCTCTCAATCGCTCTCTAAGCAACGTCATATTCAAATATTCATAATATATTCGTAATAACTGCTCTGTTAATTGAATTATATTAATTCACGCTTTTATAAAAAAAAAAAAAACATCTTACATATAAAAATAATAATATTACATACAGGTGGAGATATAATCAATCACGGAAATTCACGTTTTTTTAAGAAAGATAATAAATATACAAAAAAATAATAACACAAGCTTATCTGAATTGAAATAATTTGTTTCAATGTATTTTTAGAAAAGTAAAAAAAATGTATCCAGCTAATATTTTATATATTTTTAACGTAACTTATATTTTTAATTATCTACAATGCATTATCAATCGTAAATCCTTAAATCATAAATTGCAAGTAAAATTTCTGTTCAAATAAAGTCCACTTCATTCGAAAAATCGTTCAAAAAAACAAAACTCTGGTGTATTAACATTTCTAAAGGTTGTACTTCTTAGCCATTTATTTTTAATGTTTAATATATCCGTAAGATAATATTCAAAAATTTTACTCGGAAAATATCGATTTCAAATCCGTTGAGCAATTCGTAATTATACTTTAATATAATAAAAACCACCTCGAGGATAGGTAGAAAATACAAGGGGTTAATCACCCCGTGAGCCCCGCCATATATTGATTTCCCATTCTTCGCCACCCTTTCCCTTGCCGCTTTCAGGACACGCAGTTCAGTCCTCTCTCGTCATTTCAAAGGGCGCCCCTGTGGCGTCTGCGTATTCCCTGCACGCACACGCGTATATTTGCACGCATCGGCAAGTGGAATACCTCGAATAACTGCTCATGCTCAGTGAAAATCTTAGACCTAATATTTGCCAGTAAACAGCCATTCAATCGATTAAAATCTCTTCATCTCATTTGCTCCGCATTCTGCGCAATCACGTTCCTGCTCTTCGAGAAACGCGATCGTACAATTTGTGCACACCCGACGTTCCGGCAACGCCGGGGAACATCCATTCCCGTGGAAGTATCCGGTCGATCGAGCCAAGGTTACAACAACAAGTGTCCGGGAAGATGTATCTAATGAAGTTCACTATGCTAGATTCAATGGTGATGAAAGTTGCTCAAAATTGAATATAATAAATGACAATAGCAAATGTGAAGAGTGCTTACATATGAAGAGTGCAAATGAGAAGTTGAAGTGATCTGTTACGTTGTTGAGCTAATCGATAATAGAACTGTTAATTAACGCCATTGAATTCTAAGATGATATATCGATATCGGCAACGTATCGACTTATATAATCGTATATGATAAGAAAATAGTGTCAGCTTTTAATTCCTTATCAGCAGATTTATACAAACTTTGAAGATTCAAAGAAATCTAAATCATCTTAATGAACAGACTATATTATTGAGTGAGTGTAAGACATAGACTTCATATTATAACAGAAAAATTCTAGACGTTTAAAAAAAGAAACAAACAAATAATAAAAAATTAGAATTGGAAGTTATTTCAGATAATTAGATGCTTCACATTAATATGAAGTCTCATATTTCAACGAGTCAAAAATTAAGGAAAAGACAATTCAATGAAGACTTGTTATGCCTTACAATAATTAGATAAGATTAAACTAATATACTATATGACAATCATATATTGTAAATCATAAGAATAACCAGGCACTATACAATAATATAATGAATTGTAAAAATCACAGAGATAAAGAATTAAAAACAAAGAAAATTACGAGTAGAGAAAAATTATCATAGTCTTCATTCTTCCTTGCAATTAATACGATCCGACTAACAAGTAAACAAAGCAATAAGAAGAAAGAATCTTTTATTAATGTCGAGCGAATGAATCGTCGAAGAAAAAACATCGCAGATTAAGGAGAATAAAGAAGATCATCGAAGGCTTTGTAAATCTCTTGAACAAGAGAAAGATATCGTCACACCACATCATTGCACATGACAATAACAATTTGCTCAATCGTAATGACGGCCGGAGATCAGGGGGCACTCGACAGACAAAGAGACGAGTCTCGCCACAACGCGACGTGGGAGCAGCGGGAGTGCGGCAACAACACCTACGCATCGCGGCAGACACGCCGCTACGAGACGAGTAAAGCAGCAACACGCTCCTCGAGCTACGTGCAGCGTGCTTCGTAATTTCCTTGGCGGCTCCCCACGCGCGCGTAGTATACTCGAAGCCGCGTGGCGCTGGCTTCGTGTCTCGGAGGCGGCTTTACTCCTCCACCGCCGTCGCTACCACCGCCGCCGACACCACCACCACCGCCGACAGTACCATCACCATCACCACCACCCCCTGCTGACGGCCGACCCGACCGGCCCGACTCTGACAGTGGCTCGGTCGACCGATGACAGTCGAGGCGTCAGTCCTCAGAGCGCCAGCGTGCCGTGTGGAGCGGTCGCGCGCGTGTTACGTGCGGAGCAGCACGGCGATCGCGTGGACGGCCAACTGTCAAACTCTACGCGTGTCGTTTCGGTGATTCCGGTGAATCTCCGTTAGTGAATCATCAGATCGTCTACTCTGTGGAGTTAAGTGACACGTTATCGCGCGTGATTTTCTTTTTTTATATATACAAATCCCCGTCGTGCGATTTCTATAATCAGACATAATCGAACTTTTCGTAAGATGCGCGTCATCGGTGTTTCAAAATCGACGTCACGCGGTTTCTATCGAGCGGTTTCTACCGACGTTCGACACACGTATGCGAATGATTCATAGAGGAAGAGAGAGTGCACTTTGTTTTTGTTCCTGAAGAGTGACACGAGAGACAGCGAGATGACGGAGCTCGCCAAGGAGGCGTTCACCTCGCGCAACTACCACCTGGCGATCGAGTTATACGAGCGATGTTTGAAGCAGCAGGGACCGAATTACGAGGTGCTGCTCGGCTACGGCGATTCTCTGGCTAAATGCGGACGCGTGAGAGAGTCCCTTGGGATCTACTCCAGGTGTTTAGCCGCGACTTCAGTGCCGGCCGAGAGACTGAAGCACCTGGCGACCGCGCTCTTAGAGGATATGGCCGGCGCCGGGACGACCTCCAGACGGAGAATCGAGATATCTTTCGCGTGTCCTCAATGTGAAGGCACTCTCTGTCAACCGGTGACCGTCGGTTGCGGTCACACGTACTGCAGAAACTGTGTGGATCCGGCGAAAAATTGTCGTGTGTGCGGTATTAAAATTGCTACTGTGGGTGAAACAAATGTGCTCGTGCAAAGACTTGTGGAAAAATGGTGGCCGAGAGAAGTGGAGGCCAGTCGGGCAAGACACGAGGGTGATATTCTCATGCGGAAGGGTCACCTAGATCAAGCACTCGACAGATACAACCTAGCAGTTCATCTCGGTAAGTGAATCACTACATATGAGTTTTTACGATATGCTAAGCGCTCTTCATGTTTAGAATATTCTGGTTTCACGTGTCAACTTACAGTAACACAATGTGAAAATAGAATTATTGTTTTTGTGTAGAATAAGAGAGAGAATAGCTCTCTTGCTAATTAAATAAATATAAGCGTAAATATAAACGATTACAAAAGGATTTTTTGTTTGTTAGATGTTTTTGTAAAAGCTCATTGTTTTGCATTCCAAATTTGTTTTCATAATGAGAAAACATCATTGTACAAATCAACAAATTTATGAATTTATTTTTAATAGACAATTTAGAGAAATTTGATTTTTAAAAAGTATTTAATAACATGTTCCATATCTCAAGAATATAGACAGCAAAAATTGGAAAAATTTTTTTACAAGATAAAAAGCATCTAAAGAAACATTAAATTTTTTCAAAAATAATAGTAATATACAAAATCTAGAAGAAATATAAAATGCAATTATTTGTGCGATTTGTTACAAAATTAAATAATTACAAATGTTTTGATCTGATTACAAATCCTCTTTATATAAAATCTTAAAAATTTTTAAATCATATTTCAATATTATTTTCTATGATAAAGAGCTGTTATCTAGTTATCAAGTTACCTAATTTCAAGTATTTTAAATACCTTTTGGGTATTTTTAGCCTTCAAATTTTGCACGTATTATTTTAAAAATAGAAATAAATTAATATAATTAAAAAAAGATTAAAAACGGCTAAAATAACCTTAATCAAAAAAGTGATTATAACATCTGGATTGATAAGTGTAACAATAAACTATAAAGCAAATGCAATTATTAAATTTTTAATTGTTCTATTTAAACTATGATTAGTCACATATTATATCAGTATCACAATTTCATTGATGCGCCTAAATACGTTGTCTAATGCTGCGTACTGCTCTAATTTCGGATAGAATTAAATTAAATTGTGCTAAAATATTGAAGTTATCCATGACAAAATAAAATTAGAAGGTGGAAAAATCCTCTCAATTCTCAAAAAATAAAGTGGTGATATCATTTTTTAATTTATTCGCAAGCAAAGTGTAATAACATGTAGTTACATAAAGATTATTACGAAACACCTAATCTGAATAACGTTTCAAGCAAGTCAGTAGACTAGAAGTATACTGGTTTATCATTCACGTTTCATAATCTACTTCGATTTAATCGAAATCATTTAATGTTAGTAAAATCACGCCTTTTTAAAAATGTTCGCTTTATATCTGCATTAACGCAAATGGACCGCAGTTGTTCGCAGCTTTGATCGAGATGTATGCAAACAAATGCGAGAAAGCCAAATTTGTTACGATAATTTGAATCAATAATTTTTCAAACAATTAATGCAATTAATTAATTAAAAAATTAATTATTGCCCAAAAAATTAATTTAACATTTGCGAGAAAATTAAACATTTCAATAATTAGATTCATTTTTTGTAACAATTTTATAACAATTTGATTTCTGTTTTTTTTTAATGCATTACACAATGCAATAGGAAAATAATTTCTGTGCTATTATATAATATGTACAATATTCACAAAATATACATATAAAAAAAATATATATATTCACAAAAATAGATCAAAAAGATTATTATCATATCGCTATCAATTTATTAAAAATAGAAAACTAAATATAGTTAACCTCAAATTTTACTCACAAATCACTGTTGCACTTGTCCCGCTGTTGCACTTGTCTCGCTGTTGCAGTTGTCCCGCTGTTGCAATTTGTTAATTCTGTCATTGCTCCAAATATTCACACACAATTCACTAATTATCACTATGCCCGATCAATTTATATAGCATTCTCGAATTTTACAAACGTACCGCATTTTCGACGCGAAATAAAATGATTCCGAAACAATTTTAATTATTATAAACACGAGAAAATTTCGCTCACTTGTTTTTGTCATTACGTCGGCCGGCAATACATCCGACACTCACAACACGCGATTACATGTACGAAGCACTCGAATAAATAAATAACGCGAAATACAACGATCGTCCATAATTTTGCCCGACAAACAAGACAGTTCAACATCAGAGCAGCTTCGCAGCGAGTAATGTCCAACACATAACGCGACGCGACAAGTTATAGGTTATATGAATACCAAGGCGGGCAAAACGATCGCGCGTTATAATGCAGGGCTGACAAAATGAATAACGAGACAACACTGCTCCCACTTACTTATAGAGGTCGCGCCCTACCCTTGCCGTAACTATAGAAAGAGATAACTATTTGAAAAAGGATAATCAATCCGCTCGCGATCTCTATTATGCAGGAAATAGCGATGATTGTATTTCAACCAGTATTCTAAACCTTACTATAATTAGCACTCCATAATTATCATTCACCGACTAATTCGATACTTTTACAACTCGCAAGATATGTTTAAAAAGCTCGGAGCAATTAGACGCCAATGCTCAATGACTCGGCAAAAAATATGCAACACCGTTGATGATATAAATGTCTAAAGATTCATAGCTATGACTCAATATGATAATTAACATACCACAACGATTAGTAGATGGGATTTGGCACTCTTGAAGCTTGTTTATGCACGGAATTTACCTTAAATCAAGAAAAACATGCCCGCACCGCGAGATGCTGCTCCTCCGTTTCGCTATCTTCCCGCGAATAAATGTTGTAACTAGATGTCGCAACGTTATGGGATGATCGCATTTACATTCACGATGATGACGTAATTAATTTAAAAATAATACGCGAATTATTTTTATACCAAACAAAGCATTAAACAACAATTAAATTAATCATATCATACATCTATTTTTGTTTTACTGTTTACGTTATTCTATTGTAAATTTCGAAGTATGTAAGATAAGCAGAAGCAGCGTTGTCCCGTTATTCATTTGTCAGCCCTGCATTATAACGTACGCGCGATCGCATTTTCCCGCGCCCTGATATTTTTACAACCTATAACTTGTCGCGTCGCATTGTGTTGGACATTACTCGCTGCGTAGCTGCTCTGATGCTAAGCTGTCTTGTTTGTCGGGCAAAATTATGGGCGATCGTTGTATTTCGCGTCATTTATTTATTCGAGTGCATCGTACGCGTAATCGCGTGAGTGTCGAATGTATTGCCGGACGACGTGACAAAATAAATAAGCGGAATTTTCTCGTGTTTATAATAATTGAAATTGTGTCGAAATCATTTTATTTGGCGCCGAAAATGCGGTACGTTTGTAAAATTCGGGAATGCTATATAAATTGATCGATTATAGTGATAATTAGTGAATTGTGTGTGAATATTTGGAGCAATGACAGAATCAACAAACTGCAACGGTAGGACAAGTGCAAGCGATTTGTGAGTAAAATTTAAGGTTAAACTATGTTTAGTTTTCTATTTTAATTTCTATTCTGATATAATTAAATAAAAAGTACCACAAAAACTTTAAAATCAAGTTATACAAATTGTAGAAAAATTTCAAGAACACAACAAATTAAACTATACAAAACTCTAACTCTAACTATACTAATAAATTATTGTAAACATATTACAACATTTTCAAATTAATATGTCGTATTAATTTGCAATTTTTCGCGTTAGACATAAAGTACAGAATTATTAGTTTTTGAAATATGACAAATTGACGAGATAATACATTCCTATTATGTAAAAAATAAAAATAATTTATAATGAAAAAAGTAATTCAATGAAACACTTTTGTTTACCATAATTAATTATACACAAAATTGCTTATTAATTAAAATTATTTTTAGCAACATAATCTCTTTTGAAAGACGCTACAAATTCCATGCAATTTTCTCATCAGCTAATGCAAACTATGTAAAAGATATGATATGACGCCTTTTCTTTAAAGCTAATTTTTTTTGCATTAAGCATTAAAAAAGATCACAGTATCTCAAGCGCATGTTTGCCTTTCTTTTTTTCGATAATACGCTCGCTTACTCACGCACATTTGCTCTTTTTCTTTTTCTTTTCTGTAGCTCACTTTTTATCATTTCAAGTTGAACAGAGTACGATTATTGACCTTAGTGCAACCGCGGCCTCCAGACATCTGCCCCCTATTCATTTCCTCAAATTCCAATTATAGATTTTTTGATATCTGGAGTTAATAAAGTAACAAATATTCTACAGAAATTGATTATCTACTGCAATTTTTCTTTTTCACACGTTAAATGGATGACTTTTATATAAAAAAGTGTCAATTTCAAATTATTCAAAAAGCTGCAATTTATATTTTGTAATAAAGTTTGAACAACGAATAATTAGTCACAAACAATATTATTCACTTACTTTTTATATCTCAAAATATATTTACAGTTTAATAATATTAACATTTAAATTTTAACTATGGTAATTAATTGCTTAAATAGATTAAAGTAATATAGTATTATTGCGGTGTTTTCTCTAGATAGAAATTTGGGAGTCTATTCTTGGCTTTAATTCAATCTTATTTACAATTAAAATATTATCATTTTTTCATATAAATCATATTTTCATATCATTTTCACACAAAAGTCATCCAAAATTTTGTTGATATTTTGATGAGCACTTCTGAATAGTATATTTCGAGAATAGAAATTTGCTGATTTCTGGGTTGTTTATCTTGGAACGATATTTCTAGTGAAAACGTGTCTGAGAAGTGATATATTTCTCGGGAAATGATAGTCAGTATTACAATTAGCGAAGATCAGTATCAAGCTTAACGCTTAACTCTGCTCTAAGTACATAAAAAGTTCCAGGTACTAAATAAACAAATAAACTTTCATTAGAATCGTTGGAAAATTATAACTTTTGTATTTGCAAACGCAGAAAATTAATTTATAATTAAAAATGTCTATAATGAAACTTTATTATTCAATTATAATGCATAAAGTTAAATTGTAGGTAAAAAGTTAATAAATTTATTCAGTTTTTGTTAATAATTCATAATATATTTTATCTATTTCTGTTTACAAATTGCGTGAGATTTCCACTTAAGCA